CTTTGTGTGATAAAGTATTGAGAAAAGCTACTTGAGGACTATCTGTTGTAACAGTCCCTAATTTTGAAGTGATGGGCTAGAAAACGCCTCGAGTCAACACTAACTGCTACCAATTCTTGGTTACTCTTTATCAAAGAATAGTTAGATAGACCATCACATTCTAAATCCCTCATGACTAAAACGGCGAGCATGTCTGGTAATCTGATTCAAACATTCAACCAACATGCTGCAAGTCAAGTGCCCTAACAATCAGGCCATGCTATGTCCATGGCAGTTGTCAGGGTTTAAATATGAGTGGGCTGAGGATTCTTCTGCAGTAGGTGTCTGTAATTCAAACAATAAACAGACAGCACACAATCCACTTGTTTTAAAATAATATATATATATTCAAAACAAGTCAAACATATGTACAAAAATTCTTTATACTATAGGAAATTACAGTTTTATCTGAAACTAAATAATTTTCTTTTCTTGTCAAAAGTCCACTTAGGTTGATTCAATTACCTTAGAACACCATTTGGCAAGACAAAATACTTTTTACCTCTACTAAATTGTGAAACTCACTTTAAAATATCACCCGTTATGGCTAATCACTCAAGCGTCTTCTTTCACTAACTTAATTTCTGACTGAATTGCACTTCACTTTTATCCTACTTGATTAACGCTCGCCTAGTTGCCTATATTACCCAACTGAGGCCTCGGAAATTTTTCTAAAACTACGCGATCGGCGCTGTTAAGGTAACAATACTCACTTAAGGTAACGAGAAAAATACCGAAGATTCGAGTAACTTAACGTCAACAATATCAGTAAAGCCTAGACAACAACGTAATTGCAAACACAATGTACGATTCATAAAGAATTGGGTAATAATGTTTGTCACAACTAACACTTTTAAAACAACCCATTTTCAACATTCTTGTCTTAAAATCTAAACAATCATTAAATATTAAGTCACGAGATAAACTAAATAATAACACTTACGCTAAACAGTCTTGTATATCCAACAGCAGTGATTGTACGCCCATACCATGTCATCTTAATGAAATCCAGCCTTACCACCATTAACATTAACAGTAACTGATACATCTTTCCCAAGTGAAACTGTCTATGACGTTCATGGTGATCCTTATTCACTCTACATATTCTGTGAGATTCTGCTGAGTGATTATTCTTTAGATGATAATGCAGATGGTCCAATGGCACTACCAAATATCAGTAATAATCGTATGCTACATGTATCTATACTATAACTTATCAGTAACAATAGCTCTTGATCCTACATTTTCTTATGTTCATCCAGAAAATTAGCTAATTGCTTTAACAAGTATCAAAATATTAAAAGGAAAAATAATTACGACACAATTTTCATAGATTCAAACCTTATAAAGCTTTTATCCATAGTCTGAAATAGTATTGAAAATATAAAATGGAGGTAACACACCGTGTACAAGAGAAAGGTTTACAATAGACTAAATATAAAATCAACCGAGGAACTATGATGAAATAGTATCACAACAACCAACCAATTTTAAGAGATGCTTTCTTATTTTAAGTGGTTGATTATAAAAAAAAAAAATATATTCTAATAATCCTCTAAACATGCTGACCTGCATCAATATTTTAAAGTTCCTTTTTAAAAAGTCATGCGACGCCGGGAGCGTACGTGCTGGAGTTTCTTGAAGGATCATGAATTATCGGGAAGGCCCGAGTTTGTTCGAGGCGCCCTCTTTTTTAGTTTCTATGCCTGGCGAGAAAAACCAGCGGTATGACAGAGATAGATAGATAGATACAGAGATAGATAATTGAGTCAAGCGAACAGTAGGCACCGTAAGTAAAGTGTGTGAATCACTGTGATTTATAGCGTGTGTTATAAAGGTTGTTAAGTTTAAAGTGACTGTGGAAATTCTGTGTATTACAAAGTTGTATCGAGGAAAAATAAATTGGTTTAATTAAGAAACGACATGTATCGCTGAAGTTCCTCGGAAAAATTTTATACCGGAAATTAACAAACAAGCAGATACCTAACAGTATATTCAACTGAACGTTTCCAGCCCTATACTTGATATCTGAATTTTTTAACAACGACTCTTACAAGTATCAGCTACAAACAAGACAAGAATAAATTATTCTCTGATTTTCACTTTTAATCTAGTGGGTACTTAAGTGTGAATAATAATTTAAAAACGTAATTCCAATTTTTCTAGATAGTGAACTGATTGTAAAGTTTGTAATTTTTGTTGCATCATTCTTTTGGGTACTTCAGTAAAATATTTATTGACACTGTCTAAAAATTTTGTAATAAAAATATGAAGAAATATGTTTTTAAAGCAATTCAGTCAATTTGAAGTGTTTCACAAAATCTTTTTTTTTTACAATTATTAGATCGTCAAGAAATGTATGTCGCGTTTTGGAACACTTTCATTAACCACCCCCACAAAAACGTACATCCCCTATAATAGTTAAACGAACCGTCTAAATGTCTCATTAGTGTA